GCTCAGGGGACAGGAAGCTGAAGAAAAATTAACAGCTGACTCTAAGAGAACACAAAAAGATGGGGTCGCACACATTTCTCTTGGCGCCCTTGACTCATTCCTCACCCCTCTTCGCCCTGAGACTGCTGAGGTCAGAGGGTCAGACGAGGGGCTGGAGATGGTACAGCAGCTAAAAGCACAGTACCTCGAGACTGTGACTCCAGGCTTCAGCGACACTGTCTTAGGCTCCATCTGTCCTGAAGCCCAAGCCTCCCGAAGCCAGTCACTTCTTCCTGGGAGCTGCTGGCCTTGCTTCCAGGGTCTCACACTGAGCCCATGAGAACACAAGAGCCGTCTTTCCCCACAGGCCCTGGGAGCTGCGCTCACTCTGACCTGCTCTCTCCCTCCATTCTCCACAAGCCAGCTCTTAGGCTGCAATTCTTTGTCACTTTCTCAGGAGCCCTGCCTGTTTAACTTATTAATCTCTCCCTCTTTGGTGGGCTAGATGGCCTGATGTCTGGGGTTCGATCCCCAGAACTGAACTGACCCCCACACACACCTAGGCTCAAGTGTTCTCCCCTCATACCACATCACTTTACCTCCCCAAACGTATTCTTCTTCCAGCCCATCTTCCCCCAGGCACTGCTGGACTTCGATGAAACCTCTCATCTGACCCACCCCAGCTGGCTTTTCTACCCCCACACCACACCAACTACCTGACAGAATGGTCCAGCCCATGGTGCTAAAGGCAAAAGCTATTTCCCTCCACTGGCATTCAGTAGCACTTGGACAGGAAAAACTACTGTCCTTTAATCGCCTAGTCCTTTCACTCCAGCCATTACACAGAGGTCAGAACTTGCTCTTAGAAACTGGCCTAGTCCCAGGATACACCTACCGTCTATAAGCTATCTGACCCTCACTATTTAGAAGCCCTTACAGGTTCCATATCAACTCCCGTTACCACACTTACCAACTAGCCCCCGTCTGCTCTTCTCCAAATGTTAGGTGGCACCATCACCACCCAGGACCTGTCCCAAAAGTGAAGGCACCCTTAAGACTGCTTCCTCTTTTCTAGAGCCAGCCTATTATGCAAACCTTTCTAATCCTACCTTGTATACAGCAGCCAGTGACATCTATAAAATAAAGACAGGAGCCTCTCTGCACCTGTAGCCCAAGGACTCAGGAAGCTGAGACAGGAGGATGCTTGAGCACAGGAGCTTGAGATCATCCAAACAATTATAGCAATACTGTGAAACCTTATCACCAAACAAACAGACAAGAACTTGGTACCGAGCTCAGTGGTAGAATGTTTCTTAGCAGGAAGCCCTGGTTCAAACAGACACCTCAACCCCACCCACCCCTGCTCTAATTAAAACTACAATAGCTTCTCACTGCAATTAGGACAAAAACCTGAAAATTCCCACATGGCGAGTCAAAGTCCCAAAGCAGCTCTCCAGCATCCCCCAACTCCTCACTGGACTTGGTCTAACACTGCCCTCATATAGGCTTGGAATGTCGAGCCAGCTAACACCAGCTTGTTCAAGCTTCAGCTCATGTCATCTCCTCAAAGAAACTCAATGGTCATTCCCACCCAATCGATCTGTGACCACCCCACTGGCTGTAAATTCCACGAGTTAGGTATCTTGTTTGGATCTACTAACACTACTTTAAAATTAACTCTTCTTTCCCTATAAGCTAGTTTGTTTTAGGGAAACTACTGTTTTACAGCTTTTGGATTTTTTCCAAAGACTAGAATCACTTTGAAATAAGTTTGCTTATATACTTTTGGCTTTTTTTTTTTTTTTTTTTTTTTTTTGGAGACAGGGTTTCTCTGTGTAACAGTCCTGAGGAGGGAACTCAGATCCACTTGCTTCTGCCTCCCAAGTGCTGGGATTAAGGAGTGCAACAGCATGCCCAGCTTATTTTGACATTTTGTTGGTGTGTAAATCTACCTGTTTTTTCAGCCTGTTTGGCCAGCCTGGACTTGAAGGGGGGCAGGAACTGTCCTAACTCTATCTGGTTCTCTCCGGCTCTGTAACATTCTTAATCTTTCCTCTCCAGTCACTTTGAGTTCCAGGAACAAAGAGGATTGACTGATAAACCTCAGTGTGGCTAGGCCTCCAATTCCGAAGGGCTGCCTGGAGCAGAAGAAACTGCAGAACCAGACACCTACCACATCTCCTAAGTTCTACCCCCACCTCTTGCTTTCCTGATCCAGTTCTTCCTGTTTAACCTGAGCTCAGTGGGTAGTGCCAGCACCTGGAAGGTGGCCTCATTGTCAAGGGCCCCTTGAGGCCTCCGTCCCTACTCCACAGAGAACAAGCTTTTCGAGTCATTTGCATTGTTTACTGGTATACTGGGGCCAACGTGGAGGAGTCTAGCCTGTTGGGACTGCTAGAGGCAGGGCGTTTGCCCTAAGAGCTTAGGTAACAGGGCTGCTGAGATGGCAGCTGAGGGAAAAGGTGATCTGCGGCCAAGCCCTAATGACCTGAGTTCAATCCTCAATCCTCTGACCTCCACACCTGCACTGCATTTACATGATCCCTCACACACAAAATAAGTTTATGGGAAAAATAGCATTGCCGTGAGAAGTAACCCAAACTAAAATAACATGCCGCCCCCCCCCCCCCGCAGTATTAGAGGATGTTCCCAAATCTGCACTGCACTAGGCCCTCCGGAAGGCTCTGGAAGAATGGACTCTTATACAGACTCATCTCTGATGAGTTGGCCAGAATTTCAGTTCTGGAGGCGGTAGCATCACAAACTCAAGTTGCCTACACAATATTGAAGGACACAGCTAGTCTTGGCAAACAATGTTGATAACTCTAAATTTAAAACATCTCCCAGTTAATTGTGATGCTCAGATTCAGAAATCATAGGTTTGAAGCTTTTGGGGAGAAGGCAAACTTTGCTGCTTAACATGGCACGACCTGAACAATAGATTAGATTAATAATAAACAGTACGTAGGGATGAAAGAACAAACAGGAAGTATTTAATATTCAGACACACAAAGAAAACCAGTGCCACTATGTTGCCTTTGCTCACTAGAAAATTAACTACTTCCATCTCTGGATACCTCCTGACCTTTCCAGACTGTTCCCCTGTAACAATTTAAGAATTCGACACTCCTCCCTGGTGTTTACCTATATAAGGAAGCATCCCCGTTTTTTTAGAAAGCGAAGTGCATTTGAAGCTTGTATGAATTTCTTCCCATCAGAGTTTTAAGGAACGCTCATCGTTTTTGAAGTACTATGAAGACCCAAACCAGAAACCACTTGCAAGTGTCACGTTCCCACAATCTGGTGACTAGACCCGGGTATTTTCTGGACCGTTTTACAATACAACCAACTCACCATAAACGGACAAAATAAAATGAGTATCGGAGGAGCATTCTACGGAGGGAGCCCTATCCCTGGCTCTGTAAGCCGGGCCCCTAACCCCAATAATCAAGAGGACGAAGTAAGGGGTCTCAAAGCCCTGCCGTCGGCCGGGGCGCCGGGGAGACCCCACCATCTTCGGCCTGGGGCAGTGATGGAAGGCAAGCGGCCGCCGCGGCCTCGGCTCCCCGCCCGGCCCGGCCCGGCTCCCTCCACACCGGGCGCCGCCCGCCGCGCGGGAAGATGGCGGCCGCCGAGCAACTGCGCCACCAGCCCTGGCCACGGGCCAGGCCCAGCGCCATCTTAGCGTCCTGCGGCCCGCCGCCCCCACCCCGAGGAGCCGCTGTCGGGGCGACTCGGCACGGGCCCGCAGAGCCCAGCCGGTCAAAACGTGGAAAGAACAAGATCCAGACAAAAAAGAAAAAAAAAAAAAAACCAAAAAGCAAAGCCGCCCTCGCCCGGCCCTTCGTCTCCCGGCCGCCGCCTGACGCCGGCCGGGCCCACGGCGCGGCGGGGAGGCTCGGCCCGGCCCGGCCCGGCCCGGGGCCGCGGGTCCTCGGCAGCGGCGGAGGCTGAGTGCGGGCTTGCGCCGCGGCCCAGGCCGGGGATGAGGCCCAGGAGGCCGGCCCGCCCGCCCGCCCGCACCGCCCGCCCGCGGCCCCGAGCCGGCTCCCTCCCTCCCTCTCCTCGGCCGACGCGGGCTCACACCCCAGGGCTTCCGAGGGGCAGAAGGGGCCGGAGGGCTGCGCCAAGCGGCGAGGGGGAGGCTGGGGAAGCCGGCTGCCCGCGCTCGGCCGCCTCGGCCCCTGCTCGCGGCCCGGCCCGGCCCGGCCCCGCCGCGCCGCCCTCCCCTCGCCGAGCCCCGCTCCCTCCTCCGCGGCTCCCGGGCGGCTCCGGGGGGCGGAATCCGCTCGCCCGCCCGCCCGCTCGCACACACTCGGCGCACACAACTAATTTGAAAGCGGCTCAATCAATGAGTCATTAAAAGGCTTCCCTCCCCTCCCCCCCCACCGCCAACCGCCACGCCGCCGCCTCCCCTCCGTCCTCATCCCACACCCCCCTTCCCGAGCTCTCCCACTCCCCGCTCCAGAAATTTGCATCCGCGGATGGGGGCGAAAAAAAAAAAAAAAAGGAAGAGAAAGGGAGAGGGGAAAAAAAAAAGGGCAGGCGCCAGGCCCCCCACGCGGCCGCGGCGCCCCCGGCCCGGCCCGGCCCGGCGCCCCCGCTGCACCCGCGCCCCCGCCCGAGACACTGAACTTGGTCTTCCCGGGGCCCCGGCGGCGCCGGGAGAGGCATCCACACTCGATTCCCCTGGTCTCCGTGTCCATTAAACATCCACCCACCACCACCATCACCCACCCACAAACCCACCCCCCCCCAAAAAAAAAAAACACAGCCTTAGCCAATAGCTCTCTGGGCTGAAACCTAATATCCTGGTTTTGGCAACTGGGTGTTTAATTTGCTCCTCTTTCTTTTCTGTCTGGCTGGAGATCTATCTCCGGCTCCCCCCCCCCCTTCTCCTTCTTCCCTCGCTTCTCCCCTCCCCGAAGGAAAAAAGAGGCAGAGGAAGGAGGTTGTGTTTTTTTTTTTTTCTCCTTGAAATTTTTATCACAAAATTATAATACACTCAAAGGGAAACTCACCGTCATGAAAAAGCAGTGCCTTGTCAACGGGGTTTCTGCGCCATCGCACCAGGGGCGGCGGCGGCGGCGGCGGCGGGCGCGGGGCGCGGGGCGCGGGCGCGGGAGCTCCAGGCCGAGCGGCGCCGGCCACACGCGCTCCGCTCTCTCTCTCGCTCACCCCCGCGCCGGGCGGCGGGCGCCCGCTCCCCGCGCCCGCCCGGCCTTCATGCTCTGCGCCCGGGCAAACGGCTCGTCTGCTCGTCTGCCTCAAACTTCGGTTCTTGCCTAGTGCAAAGAAAAAAGGAAAAGAAGCAAAGATTAGGATTTCTTTAATTAAAATTTTTAAATGTTTTTTTTTTTTTCTTCTTCCCGAAAGCAAAACAAAAACCCAGAAATACACAAGCTCCCAGCCTGGCGATTTCTGTTTCTTTTGGATTTTTTTGTTTTTGTTTTTGTTTTTTTGCGGGGGGGGGAGACGTTGAATGAATGTATTGGGGTCTATTCAAGAAACAGGTTTATCTGTGTACCCTCCCTCCTCCCCCATCTACAAGCTGTGAGCTGATTCCCCTCAGGGGCTCTGAACACACAGCACACCAGTTTTAGCTTAACTTGGAGGGGAGGGTAAGGAAAAATAAAGATTGGTTTAAAACTCCAGTTAAAGCCAGCCACGGGGGGGGGGGGTTGGGGAAAGAGCATATTTTTAAAATATAAAGCATCCCTTTTAATTATTTGGTAGATAACTGGATTAATCTTAAGTTTCCAATGCAGTACTAAACTTTACAGTATCCCTTTCCACACTGAAATGCTGTGAAATCTTATCTGTGAAACTTGTACCCTAAGATTAAAAAGAAAAACAAAACCAGTAACTAAGGAGAGGAGCTGAGCATTCCCTAGCCTTCATTTTATTGCTCTTTTACCTTCATGTTAGTGAAGTTTGCTTAAATAACTCCCATTCTTAAACAGGAAGCTCCAAAACCCTTTAGCTACCCTTGGCCCAACCATAATTACCACCTGTTTTAAATTTCAAATTGTTGAGATTTCTTAAACCACCTAGTAGTGTGAAAAGCATTTAAATAAGTGTTCATTGTAAGAGTCCTTTGTAGCCTCATTACCAATAAGATGGGGAGGGGGGCAGAGGGTTGTCATTTGTTTTAAATAAATACCAAAAGTAGGTGAGATATGAATTGTACATGAATGTAATTCAGGCTTAAAGAGACAGAGTTAAGCTTAACAAGTCTTCTAAGGGTATTTGAAGTTAGTTGGTGTGATCTTGTTGATAAGTTCCAAATAAAATTGTCCCCAGATTTAAATTCTTTAAAATATTGTCTGGTTTCTATATCCTTGAGTAGGAAACAAAACCAAACCTTAAAGGCTCTATGGCACTTCCCTGTGAGTGGTGAGGTAAGATCATGTTCTAGGAATGTGTGACCCTGGGTTCAAACACACACACACACACACACACACACACACACACACACTTCATGCACCTTGCTTACTTATATAACCATGTAATTAAATTACACTTCACAAAATAAATGTGTCAAAGCTGCCATACTATGTTGCTGTATTTAAAATCCTTTTTCAAAAGCAAGCCACTCTACCATTTTATATAATGTAGGTTTTGTATTTAGACCCAACTAAAAAAATACCTTCAGTGGCTTAGTGCCACATAGTATCTATCATTGAGGTGTGTTTTTTTCTAGAAGACTTTTATTTATTTATTTGCTTTAGATTCAGCCAAGGCCCTCCTGCACCAGCAGTTCTAGCATAAATTAGCATATTTCTCTACACTTGATGGTTGGACCAAGCATTTTTAATTGGCTTGGGAAATTTTTACACACATTTTAAAGTGCCTTTGGATTGGTGGGAATTTAATTAGAATACCCATTTGGAAGACCATGGACACAGCAAGCCTTATGCAGCTGGTGCTCACGGGGCCAATGAATCATTAATGGATTTCAGAAAGATAGCTTCGTCATTGGCCAAAATCCCAAGGAAACCAGAAATCTCACTTTAAATCTGATCTACCATTGCCCTGATTTGATCATTACGCAATGTGTGTATAATACATACATACATACATACATACATATAAACATATTGCACCTCATAAATATGCATTGATTATGTAGCTTTCGAGAACAAAATTAATTTTTAAAAAGATGACCTAGGGCATTGCAGTGGCCTATGCTGCGTGGCTAACAGAGCTCAAGGCCCTATGCCATTTAATCACATTGTCTATCCCAAGAACTTGCCCTGGAACCTCTGGAACAGTGAACCCAAGGTTTAATGACCCTGATTTTGCAGACAAGCTCTCAAAGCTTTCAAAGAGTTGTCTGAAGTCACTAGCCTAATAAGGACTGACAGGAGAAGCCCTGGCTGATGGTTTCCAGAACTTACCCTCTCTCGGGCCTCACAAGTATCCTGGGAACCTGTGTTCTTGCTGTGTTAATGTCATGTCACAGTCCAGTGGAGAGGCACAGGCCGAGGGGGCAACCCTTTAATTAGTCAAGACCTACCCAGAGACTGTCAGTTGTCAAATTGAATTTTAAATCTAGGGGAGGGGTTTGCAAAATACAGGGACAGTAATGGGGTGAATCTCAGTCTCCAGACACACTTATACTTGTAAGAATGCACTAATAAACGAAGGCAACTTCTTAAACTTTCCCCATAGGACTATGGAAACAGCTTAGACAAGGGAGGTGCTTTTGCATGTAACATTTAAGACTCTGTTGTGGGGTCTGGAATCTAAATTAAAATTAGAAATCTTTTAAGAGAACTTTATTATTTCAAAAAGGACCATTCAATTTTTTTTTTCCCCAGACAGGGTTTTTCTGTGTGTAGCTTTGGCTGTCCCGGAATTTACATTATTAAATTGATTTACTATATGTAAATGGCCTTGATTGTACTATCAACAACTTAGTCATCGACACTGATTCCCTTCTGTGTAAGTGACCTAAAAACAAGGGAAATTGAACACCTTTTTTAAATGTTGCAGGATATACTTGGAATTTCTAATAAATAGGCCTAAGGTTCACTTAACAGTTAAGAATGAAAGGTTGGGGATATAGCTCAGCCCAATATAATCCCTATCACTAGAAGAAAAAAGAAAGTGACCCCTTGCCTGGTTGGTTTTTCTCAGAAGAGACCATCCGCCATCCGCCAAGCCCTAGGACCCAAGTTAGATTTCTGGGGCCCACACAGCATAAGGAAAAAACTAGAAATGCCTCTAACCTACACACATTTACTATGGCACGTTCACACACACACACACACACACACACACACACACACACACACACGCTGCAACGCGGCACTAAGTAGCTCTGTGCATGTGGGTCCCAGCCAGATGTGCCCACTGCAGAGGTACCAAATGAGACAGTGAGTGTGCAGGAAACACTCTACATTCTCAGGCTGGCAGATGGCTCAGGGGCAAAGGCATTCGCCAGCAGGCCTGATGACCTGAGTTCCCACAGTGGAAGGAGAGACCTGACTCCACAAGTTGTCCTCCGACCTTCACACATATATGTGCCCAATATGTATACGTGCACATGCACAAAAATAAATGAATGTAAGTAAAAATAAAATTTTAGCAGGTCTGTGGTGGCGCACGCCTTTAATCCCAGCTCTCTGGAGGCAAAGGTGGGCAGATCTCTGAGTTCCAGGCCAGCCTGATCTACAAATTGAGTTCCAGGATAGCCAGAGCTGTTACATAGAGAAACCCTGTCTTGAAAAACCATAATAATAATACTTTAATTTAAATTCTCAACATGTATCAATAAAGATCATATCCTTATTCATAGCTCTGCTTCTATATGTTGGAGCCCTGTAATCACTCTAAGTGAGCTCAGATTCCACCTACATCACTTACAAGGTGGAGGCATTGGGCGAGTCATCTCTCCCTTCAGAGCCTCATCTACAAAATCAGGCTAATTATAGTCCTCACCTGTGAGGGTTATTTTAAGGTATGAGGAACTAGTGCATGGAGGATGTTTTAACAGGGCACTAGGAGCCGGGTGAGCCTGTGGACTCTTCCTGTCTGAGCAGACAATGGCAGTCTTCTATTGCCAGACCTATGTTGTGACTTGAATCTACTTTATTTGTTTGAGACAGATCTCGATATGTATCCCTGGCTGGCCTGGAACTCTCCATGTAGACTACGCTGGCCTCACAAGACCTGCCTGTGTCTGCCTCCTGAGTGTTGGGATTAAATATTTGGGCCACTATGCAGGCCATTGTTACTTTTCATACATGTGACTTTTGAGGGTGGTGTTGAAAGAAGATCGATCTCTCCATGTAACCCTGATTAGCATGGAACTCACTCTGTAGACCAGGCTAACCTGGAACTCACAAAGACCCACCCGTCTCTGTCTCTAGAGTGCTGGGATTAAAGGCGTGCCCCATTTCATCCTCCCCCCATTTCTACATCTTGGTGAGTGAGTGAGTGTGTGTGTGTGTGAGTGTGTGTGTGAGTGTGTGTGAGTGTGTGTGAGAGTGTGTGTGAGTGTGTGTGTGAGTGTGAGTGTGTGTGAGTGTGTGAGAGTGTGTATGTGTGTGAGTGTGTGTGTGTGAGTGTGTGAGTGTGTGTGTGTGTGTGTGAGTGTGTGCGCGCATAGGCTCCTGCCACTCCGCCACTTGAGTCATCAGGCTTGTGGTGTGCTGTGACATGCCAGTGGCTCTCATCTGCCCCCAGGACAGCATCGAGCAGCAGCAGATGTCTAGGTGGGGATTGGCCCTGGCCCCAAGGACCTCCTTCCTGTGTAAACTTCTGTTTGGTGTGTTTGTTTCTGGTTTTTTGTTTTGTTTTTTAATAAAATTGCCCACTTGAGCAAAAAAAAATTTTTTTAATAAATAAAATAGAGAGGTGACTGAATAATCAAATGAATGAAAAAATATAGAGACTTGTGGTGTGGCAAAGTGACAGGGCACTACTCAGCAAGCTGGAGGTCCTAGGTCCGATTCCCAGCATCCCCTTCCCCCAAAAAAAGACTGTGAAATTGCTTTCAAAGTAATACATAAGCAACTTCCTGGACACTGGCAGCGAGTTCACTATCTTGCCCATCTTATTCCTACGTTCAGTGAATGGCTAGGAAGACTTTAAACCATCTTCTAGGTGCTGAGGCTATTTACGTCATGACAGAGTTTTCAAGCTGGGCATTTTCCTTGACAGACTTTTCAAAAAACTCAAAACTCCTACAAGCTGCTAGTCCAGGGACCAGGAATAACAGAGCGCAGCAGCGCTGTTCGCTTTTAAGGCCGCCACACTCCCACCGGTCTTCAGTCCC